CCGGGGGCGCGGGGGCGGCCTCGGGGTCCTGGGCGGGGGGCGCGGGGGCGGCCTCGGGGTCCTCGGCGGGGGGCGTGGGGGCAGCCCCCTCCCCAGCCACCGTGGGCAGTGCCTGGTAGGTCAGCGTCCAGTAGCGCAGATAGTTGGTCCTCAAGTTCTGCTTCATGGAGTTGCCGTCCATCTTCTTGTTGATCTCCAGATAGTTGCCGCTTTCCGTGGTATAGGGATCCCAGTGTGTGGGCACAGCCGAGTGGCCCATGTTGGGGTCTCTGCAGAGTGAGGAAAGGGCGGGTTCATGGGAGGCTGGAGACCCATGTCCCTGGCCCAGCTCAGTCCTGGCTTGCCTGGCAGTGCCCTGCCCTCTGCACTGACCAGAACCATCAGGGTACTGCCCTGTGTCCTAGGATATGTGGAGCCCCAGGAAGTGCGCATCCTGGGGCCCAGCCAGTAGCTCTGTCCCCACATGCAGAAGGGGAGCCAAGGCTCCGGGAGGCTGGGTGTGGGGAACGGGCCTGCAGGCTCCGGTGGCAGGAGGACCTGGCTTCATCCCTCCCCTGCCTTACCCAGTCCTGGCGAAGTTGGTCCAGTAGGCGATCATGGCCTTGGAGACAGTCCTGTCCTGGAGCCGGTAGCCCAGGGGGGTGGCAAAAGGCTTCCCAAAGACGTACTGAATTTCATCTGCGTGGTCCGCACCCACCCACTTGGGGTAGATGGGCATCCGCGAGGGTTGGGAGAACAGGTAGGTGTAGGTCTTGGCACTCCTGGGGAGGGGAGAGACCACCCGGGCTGGCAGGTTGCCCGCCTGGAGCCACCCGGCCCAGAGATGGGCCCACCAGGGGCCAGGGAAGGCCTGGGAATCCCCATGAGACTCATGAAGAAACGGAGCCTGACACCAGGGGATGGAAATCTGTGGGCCACATTCATGGTTTCGTGGTTCTGTGATTTCTACTGTATTGATATTTCACCTCCACAGAATATATTGAGTCACCTTCTTCCCATAATTCAGTCTCAAGAAAGATTGCTTTTTTTCTCTGCAAGTGAATTTGTGTTCTTAATGTGACGGGACCAGGTATACGCCCTGGGATGTCTCTCTTTCTGCTCTGAACGGCAGGAAGCTCACAGCTAAACATAGGGCTTAGCAGCTGCAAAGCTTTCATCCTGGACTTACAGACATGATTTGATCTTCCTCCTTTTTAAATATGATTATATGGAGGTTTTTAATGTAGCCACAGGCTTAAGTTATTTTGAAAGTTGGCAAAGTTGATACCCGCGACGGAGACTCATGCGGTGTTTTCTCTAACACAGATCAGGGTGTGGAAGGTAGGGCCAAGCTCTCCTCAGTAGGGCAGAGGGTCACAGGGGGGCTTTACAAAGACCTCTCCATAAAAGGAGAGGTGGGGAGGTGAGGAGGGGCCTCTAAAGTCTCGCAGGGCAAAGCGGACAGTGCAGACGAGGCGGGGGTGGCCCCGAGCACACGGCTGCACCAGGCCCCCCGGACACTGTGAGCCACTGCAGGGGAGGCCTCGGCGGGAAGGGGCATACTCCCAGGTGGGTCTCCCCAGGCAGCCTCCCCTGCCCAGGTCCTCACTTGGCGTTGGCTCTGTGCTGGGCCAGGGCGATCTCTGTGGGCACCAGGAAAAGGATGTCAGTCTCAAGGTCCACCACGGTCTTCTTCCTGGTCTCCTGGGACGGGTCTTGGGCCCAGGGCTCCGTGTAGATGTCAAAGGTGGTGTTGGCGCCCATGATCCCCTTGGTAATGGTGAGCCCGCTGACCATCTTGTAGAAGTCCTCCCTGTGGGGAGGGTGTCAGCACTGGACCCTCCACCCAGTGCCAGCAGGAGGGTGTCCTCACCCCCAGCCAGCTGAGGTCATTGGTGGCCACCCCAACATGGTGCCGACAGCCCCACTCCACTGAGGACTCCCTGGGCCCTGCACCCGTGCTTACTCTGTGACGACCTGTTTGTCCTTGTTGATGGCTGGCATGTCAATGCCGGCAAAGATGTGGCCATCCATGTTGTTAGTGCCCGCTATGTAATCGATGTCGGCGGTGTTGGCATACAGGGTGACGGGGTCGTTGGGGATGAAGTCTCCGTCAACAACAGGGAGGAAGCCCAGGTAGTGCAGTATGGGGTCTAGATGACAGGGCAGCAGGGTCTCGCACTCCCATCACTCTCAGCCTCCTGGGCAGCAGCTGACCCACCCCGATGAGGCCATGGGGGAGACCTGCCTGCTTGGATCTAGACCCTGTCCAGTTGGGAAAATCAAAACTGTCTCCAGACTGCCACCTGCTCCCTGGGGGCAAAACTGCCCGGGCTGAGTGCCTCTGGTCTAGCAGCTGCCCTCTCGCAGCGGCGGGCTCCCCCTCCTCTCCCTGCCTTACTTGCTGGGCCGGAATCAGGAAGAAGGGAGACCCAGAAGTAACTAGTGGGCCAATGGAGAGAGGTGCCCCTCGGGGCTGTGTACTAGTCGTTCGCCCGGAAGAACCGCGGAGCTGGCTCTGGCCAGGTGGCGGCCCAGCCCACATCTTCCCTCCAGTTCAGCACGCAGGGAAACAGCTGGCTTGCACTGGGGGCCGTGCTGTTTGCTTTGGTTTCGTCTTGTCTTGCCTATAGCAGTGACCGGCTAGTGCACATGAGGCCAAGATGCAAATGATGAGGTCTTGCGAGCAAGAGGGAGGCCCAGCCCACTGGGTCAATGGCACAGACACTCAGGCCTTTGCTGAGAGCATCCCCCTAGCCTTCCTGGGGTACAGAGATGCAGAGCCAGGAGGGCGAAATGCTGCAGCAAGTGTTGAGTGTTTGTTGAATGAATGAGTGAAAAAAAGAATGAATGATCACCTAGTACAAAGATTCTTGGCCTGGGGTCCATGAATCTCCTTGAAATCATGTGCAAACAACTGCGTATATATGCACTGGTGGGGGCTCATCAGTTTCTCAAAGGGGTCCTGACCTGTGGAGGATGAGCGGGAAGAATGGCCCTCCTCCTTTACCTGCAGCCAGGGCCGCTGAGGTCTGCCAGGATGGCAGGGGCAGTGAGCTGCCTAGGGATGCCAGCAAGCAGGTGACAGAACCAGGCCTGAGACCTGGCGTTTCCCTCTTCTCCAGAAGCCCAGCCCGTTGTGTTCTTAATGTGACGGGACCAGGTATACGCCCTGGGATGTCTCTCTTTCTGCTCTGAACGGCAGGAAGCTCACAGCTAAACATAGGGCTTAGCAGCTGCAAAGCTTTCATCCTGGACTTACAGACATGATTTGATCTTCCTCCTTTTTAAATATGATTATATGGAGGTTTTTAATGTAGCCACAGGCTTAAGTTATTTTGAAAGTTGGCAAAGTTGATACCCGCGACGGAGACTCATGCGGTGTTTTCTCTAACACAGATCAGGGTGTGGAAGGTAGGGCCAAGCTCTCCTCAGTAGGGCAGAGGGTCACAGGGGGGCTTTACAAAGACCTCTCCATAAAAGGAGAGGTGGGGAGGTGAGGAGGGGCCTCTAAAGTCTCGCAGGGCAAAGCGGACAGTGCAGACGAGGCGGGGGTGGCCCCGAGCACACGGCTGCACCAGGCCCCCCGGACACTGTGAGCCACTGCAGGGGAGGCCTCGGCGGGAAGGGGCATACTCCCAGGTGGGTCTCCCCAGGCAGCCTCCCCTGCCCAGGTCCTCACTTGGCGTTGGCTCTGTGCTGGGCCAGGGCGATCTCTGTGGGCACCAGGAAAAGGATGTCAGTCTCAAGGTCCACCACGGTCTTCTTCCTGGTCTCCTGGGACGGGTCTTGGGCCCAGGGCTCCGTGTAGATGTCAAAGGTGGTGTTGGCGCCCATGATCCCCTTGGTAATGGTGAGCCCGCTGACCATCTTGTAGAAGTCCTCCCTGTGGGGAGGGTGTCAGCACTGGACCCTCCACCCAGTGCCAGCAGGAGGGTGTCCTCACCCCCAGCCAGCTGAGGTCATTGGTGGCCACCCCAACATGGTGCCGACAGCCCCACTCCACTGAGGACTCCCTGGGCCCTGCACCCGTGCTTACTCTGTGACGACCTGTTTGTCCTTGTTGATGGCTGGCATGTCAATGCCGGCAAAGATGTGGCCATCCATGTTGTTAGTGCCCGCTATGTAATCGATGTCGGCGGTGTTGGCATACAGGGTGACGGGGTCGTTGGGGATGAAGTCTCCGTCAACAACAGGGAGGAAGCCCAGGTAGTGCAGTATGGGGTCTAGATGACAGGGCAGCAGGGTCTCGCACTCCCATCACTCTCAGCCTCCTGGGCAGCAGCTGACCCACCCCGATGAGGCCATGGGGGAGACCTGCCTGCTTGGATCTAGACCCTGTCCAGTTGGGAAAATCAAAACTGTCTCCAGACTGCCACCTGCTCCCTGGGGGCAAAACTGCCCGGGCTGAGTGCCTCTGGTCTAGCAGCTGCCCTCTCGCAGCGGCGGGCTCCCCCTCCTCTCCCTGCCTTACTTGCTGGGCCGGAATCAGGAAGAAGGGAGACCCAGAAGTAACTAGTGGGCCAATGGAGAGAGGTGCCCCTCGGGGCTGTGTACTAGTCGTTCGCCCGGAAGAACCGCGGAGCTGGCTCTGGCCAGGTGGCGGCCCAGCCCACATCTTCCCTCCAGTTCAGCACGCAGGGAAACAGCTGGCTTGCACTGGGGGCCGTGCTGTTTGCTTTGGTTTCGTCTTGTCTTGCCTATAGCAGTGACCGGCTAGTGCACATGAGGCCAAGATGCAAATGATGAGGTCTTGCGAGCAAGAGGGAGGCCCAGCCCACTGGGTCAATGGCACAGACACTCAGGCCTTTGCTGAGAGCATCCCCCTAGCCTTCCTGGGGTACAGAGATGCAGAGCCAGGAGGGCGAAATGCTGCAGCAAGTGTTGAGTGTTTGTTGAATGAATGAGTGAAAAAAAGAATGAATGATCACCTAGTACAAAGATTCTTGGCCTGGGGTCCATGAATCTCCTTGAAATCATGTGCAAACAACTGCGTATATATGCACTGGTGGGGGCTCATCAGTTTCTCAAAGAGGTCCTGACCTGTGGAGGATGAGCGGGAAGAATGGCCCTCCTCCTTTACCTGCAGCCAGGGCCGCTGAGGTCTGCCAGGATGGCAGGGGCAGTGAGCTGCCTAGGGATGCCAGCAAGCAGGTGACAGAACCAGGCCTGAGACCTGGCGTTTCCCTCTTCTCCAGAAGCCCAGCCCGTCCCCACATGGAGCCCCCATGCCTCCACCCAGCTGCCCCAACTCACACTCCATGCCTGCCAGTGGCATCTTATAGGCCAGCGTCACGGCACGGGGGTCGGTAACCTTCAGACATCCGGCCATCCTGGCAGTATCGTCTGTGGGGCAGCCCACCTTCTCGGCGATCTGGGGTGGGGGTGCAGGCAGATGAGGTCGGCACTCTGGGCACAGGTGGCACCCAGGACCCGACCCTGCCCACTGCAGCTCCTCCTTACCCTTTTGGCCCAGAAGAGGGGGTTCTTCTGGATGGCCCAGGGGCACAGCGCCACACCACTCTGGCTGATGGCTCGCCGGATGAGGCCTTTGTTTTGGGGAGAGAGGGTCTGCAACACACAGAGATCCTGTCATCAAAGCCCCATCTGCCCACCTCGAGCTCAGGTGAGGACCCACCAGATGTCAGTTCCAGCCCTGCTCCTCCCTGTCCCCTTTGGCCCCCTCCCACACCCTTGAGGGCAGGTCTCCCCCCGACTTGGGTCCCCAGACCTGTAGAGAGACGCTGGCGCCTCCGGCTGATTCCCCAAATATTGTGATGTTGTTGGGGTCCCCCCCGAAGGCTGCAATGTTCCTCTTCACCCATGCGATGGCCATGTGCTGATCCCAAAGGCCATAGTTACCTGGGGGTGCGCAGGAGGAGGGGCTCCGTCAGGGACCCTCTGCCCAGGCTGGGGCTGCTAGGGGCTTGGTCCACACAAGGCGCGCAGGCCACATGGGTGGGATGAGAATGTCCTTGGCTGCTTGGACACCTGGCCGGGCCCCAGGATGGCAAGTGGAGGGTTCCCTGGGGGGCTGCTACAGGGTGGGGGGTGGGGCAGGAGGCAGGCGGCTCATCTCCATCCCTCCCTCCCACAGTCCTCTTGTCTGTGCTGTGGCCTCTGTCTGGGTCTCTGGTGGGCTGGTAGCCCTATTCCTTTGCTACAGCTGCCAAGGGGCTCCTGCCTCTCATGGTCTGTCTCTGGCTTTCTGGCTCTGCAAATAAGATTCTGGGCCTTTCCGGGGGGCTGACTGGGAAGTTGTCTGGGGCCCAGGGGCACTGAGGGGATCCCCACTGGGCTCAGAGCTCGCGGGGTTGGACACATTAGCTCCCAACAGACCTGGCAGGTTGGAGTCCCCAGTGCTGAGGAAGCCCAGGGGGCCGACACGGTAGTTGAAGGTGACCACAATAACGTTGCCCCGCGTAGCAATCTCCTCCCCATCGTACAGATAATTTTTGAGAAAGTTGGCCCCGTGGCCAGCCCCCATGAGGAAGGCACCTCCGTAGATCCAGATCATGACGGGCAGGTCCCTGGAGACTGAGGCAGGACGGAGCAGGTTTGGTGACCCCAGAGGCCCACTTCCTCCCCACCTCCCCACCCTCTGATTTCAGGAAAGTTCAGCTCTGGACCCCCGGCCACACCCGAGGGCAGGGCCGGGAGGGGCTTCCTGCAAGCCGGAGTGCCAGGGGCAGGGGGCATTGGGAGAGGAGCAGACCTTGCTTCCTGCCCTGGGGCACCCAGATGTTGAGGTACAGGCAGTCCTCCTTCCCATACGTGCTATCCTGGGTGATAGTGGCCTGCAGGCATCGCTTCTTGAAGTCCTTGGCCTTCAGGGTCCCTGTGGGCGGCCAGAGGGGTGGGTGTGAGGAGGGCGGCCCCTGACCAACCTGGCCATGGGCCTGGCCAGTGCCACCTGCTCCTACCTTGCCAGCCAGGGTGTCGCTGGGGTTTCTCCAGGGCCTTGGGGGCGGCAGCGAAGGGGATGCCCTTGAAGATGTCGACATAGTCGCCAAAGAGGCCGAGCTTCTTGTTGACACCTTCCACGAAGCCGCCCTCCGTGTACACGGCGCCCAGCTGGAGTGAGAGGCGGGCAGATTCAGGAGGCTCAGCTAGTCCGCCAGGCCAGCCCCTGGGGTGCCCAGAGCCTCCCGGACACAGCCTCAGGAGGGCCAATGTGCTCTTGAGACCAAGACCCTGCCACTTGCCCACGTTGCTGGGGGAGCGGCTCACTGGGGTCCTGCCTCCTCAGTCTCAGAGGAAACTGCTTCAGCCAGTGTGTGCCCACTCAGGAAGTCTTCCCAGAGGCTGGGAGAGGTGGGGTGGAGGTCTGGATTCGGGCCCATGGGCCTCAGTTTCCCCATCTGTCAGATGGGCACTGACAGTGTCTCCCTCCCTCTCTGCTTATCCAGCCGCCAGCAGTGTGGACACTCTGGGCACACTGAATGTTTCATGCCCGACCATGAGCCCCCTGTGCCCGGCACTCTTCTTTCTCCTCGCTTTCTGCCCGACCATGGGGTTGGGCTGGCCTGGAGCTGGTGGCCCAGTGCCAAGTCCTCACAGTCCCTGGGTTCCCTGCTGGGAAAAACCCCTGCCCCCACCCGCCCAGGGCGCTCGTGTGGGTCCCGGCCTCCTGGCTCTGCCCTGTGCTGGGTTC